CTGATTTTCCCAATGTAAATTTATAAAATTATTTACTTTTCACAGCGTCCTTTTTATTTTCTGAATTAATATAGTTTGAAATAAAATTCAATACTTGTTTCAAGACCTCTTAAAATGCAAGTGTTTTAAGTATATTCTTTCTTAGAGAATGGACCAAGTTGATAGTTTAACCAGAAATGCTATGATAAAAAAGTGAAAATTTCAAAACATTACCTTTTTAAAATGTATCTGCAAAGCTGATTCCACAAAATTCAATAAATAAAAATTTTATCCATTTTTATTATATTAAATTTATATTATAGAACTGATTTTTAATACAAGTGGAAAGACAATTCAACGGAGAAAAAATAATCTTTTCAGTAAATGGTGCTAGAACAATTCATTATCCATATGTAAAAAAAACCCTTCATACCTTAGATCCTATAAAAAAATTAACTCAAAATGGATCACAGATCTAAGTGTAAAACTAAAAATATAAAACTTCTAAGACATAACATAGGAGAAAATCATTGTGACCAACGGCTAGGCAAAATTTCTTAAATATAACATCAAAAGGCACAATCCATAAAACAACAAATTAGTAAACTGAACACCAGTTTCTTCTCTTCAAAAGTTATTAAGAGTATGAAAAGACAAACTACAGATAGGGAGAAAAATCTTTGCAAAGCACATATCTGATAATGGACTTATATAAGATTATATAAAGAACTCTCAAAACCCAACAGTAGGAAAAAACAATACCCAATTAAAAAAAAAATAAGGGGACATATGGATGGTAAGCAAACACGTAAAAAGATGCTCAATATTATTTGTCGTTAGGGAAGTACAAATAAAAACCATAATGAAATGCCACTACACACCTATTAAAGGGGATAAAATTAAAAAGTCAGATCATACTAAATGTTAGCAAGGACATGGAGGAACCGGAAACCCTCACATACTGCTGTGGATGGCACAATCACATTGGAAAACAGTTTAGTGGTTTCTTAAAAAGTTATATGTATATCTACCATATAATGCAGCCATTCTACTCGTAGGCATTAAGCAAAGAGAAAAGGCAGCATATGCCCGTATAAAGACTTGTGTGCCTGACTGTTCATGGCAGCTTAGTTTGAAATTGTGAAAAAAACTGGGAACTACCCAAATAGCCATCAACAGGTTAAATGGTAAACTATGGCACATCCATACAATGAATACTGATTTACAGTGGTGATTTCAGTGTATACAAATAAAACTTATCAAACTGTACAATTTAAATATATGCAGGTTATCGTATGTTAATTTTACATTCATAAAACTGTCAAAAAAGAAAAAACTGTATTTTATTTTTGGAAAAAAGTTTTTTTCTTTTATGCCCTACCTCATCTTTTGAAAATGCTATGACGTAGGAAAGCTTCTTGCCCCATCCTATTTCATAAAGAAGTGGCTTGTCACAGACATCTTCACATGCATCACAGTGTAGCCACCGCTGCTGAGAAGGAGAATAGACTTCTGTCCAGACATGGTCTACTCAAGTAAGAGAAAAGAGAACAATGGAAAAAAGACAATGAAATCAGAATGACTTCTAATAACTATACGCAAACTCCTAAGAATCATAAAGTAATGCGTAATATTCTGAATTTTAGTTAATAAGTGCATTTTGTGGCACACAGGATTTTAGAATACCTGTATTAATTTCTGTCTCTTTGAAATCTTAAAAATGTTTTTCCAATTTCCTTTAATGTGGTCAGTTTTAGGCTTACTGCGCGCTTTATCTCTTAAGAAGGTAGACATATTAAACAGCAGCATAAAAAGTATCATTCCGATTTTACCATCATGAAGGAGTTAACGCCACTTTTGAAACTACAGTCTCTCTCTCTGGACTTTAAGACCCAGAACCAGCAGGAAGCCTAATAGAATCTCTGGTCAATATATGCTTTATATTTGATTTTAAGAGAACACTAACTATTAACGGAAGGTTTCATTTAATTCTTTAGAAAATGGAAACACAAGGAAAACAACTTTTTAACATGTAGACCACCAAGTCATTTCTAAATAGGGACAACACAAATATCACATGACTTTTATTTTATTATTTCTGTATACTGCGATTTAAGTTTACAGTTTACTAAATCTTTTATAGTAATCCCTATAGCAATGAAGATTTCTATGGCACATTATTAAATGTTTTTATCCATATATAAATAGCATCACTATAAATGCCATGGTAAATTGCTAATAAAAGAAATAATACCTAGTGTTTGATAGATCAATAGGGTGGTTATAGTTTGCAATAGTCTACTGCATATTTCATATGAGAGGAGAGAGTAATTCAAATGTTTCCAGCATAAAGACAAATATTTAAGATCACAGATATCCCAATAATACTGATTTGCTCTGTGGAATTTATATAAATGCATTAAATTATTACAAGTATTCCCCAAATATGTATATCCATTATGCATCAATAAAAATAAAATAAAGGGGAAAAAAAGAATATTTACAGTGCAAAGCACCAGGCACAACGCTAGGTGTTTTACAAAACTCTTGTGATCCCTTCAAAAAACCTGGAAGGTTGGTATTATTACTGTTTTACACAAGGCAAATGGAAGGTCAGACTGACAAGGCCAAAAAGTAACAGAGAATGCTGGGCTCAGAATGTAAACCCAAACCTGTAAGCCTGCAAAGCCCTACTACCCTCTGCTCATTCCACATTCTGTACCTGTGTAATCCCAAACATAGCGAGCTTCAAATCCTAAAGCTCGACAGCACAGTGTAAAACAATTGGCCCACTCGCCACACCGTCCACATCTTGTTTCCAAAAGTTTCTCAGGGTTATTATATCTGGTTTAAAAAGAAAAAAAAACTTTGATTATCAAAATCAAGATTTTAAAGATAATTTACATTACCTCTATGCTAAACAGAAACGTTTCTTAATTTTTTTTTGTTTTTTTTGAGAGGGAGTCTCACTCTGTCATCCAGGTTGGAGTGCAGTGGCGTGATCTCAGCTCACTGCAACCTCTGCCTCCCGGGTTCAAGTGATTCTCCTGCCTCAGCCTCCACAGTACCTGGGACTATAGGCGCGTGCCACCAGGTCTGGCTAATTTTGTTTGTATTTTTAATAGAGACAGGGTTTCAACGTGTTAGCCAGGATGGTCTCGATCTCCTGACCTCATGATCCACCCGTCTCCCAAAGTGCTGAGATTATAGGCGTGAGCCACTGCGCCCAGTCTTTAATTTGTTTTTAAATATTGCTTTAGGAATCTAGGATATATGAGGCACAATGTTAGAATCTTTGGTGAAAAATAAATAGTAGTACTGCTTTCAAGGTGTTTACAATCCTGAGGAAAGGAATGAACACAAATAATTTTAATATATGGCAGAATGTGATCAAACAATGCAACAGGTCAGATTTAGTGTTTAATATATGGCAGAATGTGATCAAACAATACAACAGGTCAGGTTAGTGATCAAAAAATACAACAAGTCAGAAAGTGGCTGGGGAGGAGAGCTTTTATTTGACCTGTGTTTTGAATAACGTAAGATTTGGACAAGCAAACTAGTATAACTAGCTCACTATATTTAAAAGGTAAACAACTTTAACAAATTACTCAACAAAAATTTTAGCTTAAATTCAATTTTATCTAAAATATTATCTTTCTTTCTAATAATCATTTTGATTAAAATTTTACTCTTTTGAAGTATTTAAAGGTGCCTGCTAATTTAGAAGTTGTTTTTTGGGATCTATTTGTAACATTCTTTTTAGAAGTTACTCCAATTATAAAATTACCAGACAATTCGAGAACACTAAATTTTGCATTTTGTGTTGAGATGGGTTTTGAACTGATCGAGCTGACCAGGAAAAGTGCTGCAGCTGAGCAGCGAGGTCAGCGATGTGCATTGGAAGGAAAGGAAACAGTGGCATAAATGAATGGGCTCTGCGATGACAAGTCTGTTAAGCAAATGAAACATTTCTTAAGCTAAATAAATGAATTCAGAACTTAGGTAATTAAATAATTTTTTTTTTTTTTTTTTGATGAAGTCTCACTCTTTTGCCCAGACTGGAGCGCAGTGGCACAATCTCGGATCACTGCAACCTCTGCCTCCCAGGTTCAAGCAATCCTCCTGCCTCAGCCTCCCCATATAGAGAACAGCTAGAGATTGAAACGAGCACATGATTAGAAACTATGTCCTGAGCTAAAAAAATTAGATATTTTTAAGACGTGGTATGTTTTCTTGACTGATAATACAACCAAACTTTATAAGCATCGCCAATTCAGAAAATCTGAAAACAGGCTTATAAATGAAAGAATGCAAATTTAAAATTTAAAATGTCCTTAGTTTAAAATTAAGAGATATGAGGAGTAGGTTAGGTTGGGCAGGGGAAGCACCTAACTAAAACAAACTTCTGCTAATAATACTGATAATAATAATAATGCTGATTATTGTGAGAGTAAATACAATTATGTGTTTAAAATAATCATCCGATGATAATATGGAAGGTTAAAGTATACTTCAGCATTATTATTATCAGTATTGTTAGTTACCAGACAGTTAAAAATTAGGAATTAAAAAAGTAATACAAGATATATAGCATTAAACATGACTATACTCAAGTTATACTTTAGAACAAGAGTCAACTAATTTCCTATAAAAGACAGATGGTGAATATTTCAGACTTTATGGGTCATATCATTTCTGTCACCATTATTCAACTCTGCTGTTCCAGCATAAAAACAGACCACAAGTATATGAATCAGCATGGTTATCTTCTAAGATAACTTTACTGACAAAAACAGGATGTTGGCTGGATTTAGCCTGCCAGCCAGTTTGCTCACCTGTGTTTCAGAGGAATACGTTTCTGATAATTAAAATAAATATTAAAAAGTTCATTTAGTAAAAACTCTCTTCTAACTATTTCATTAAGAGATTATTCTGACTTTATTGTCCTGGGCACCCACCTTGGGAATCGATTGCTGAACTGGCAGGCATCACAGTAATGATCTTCCACTTTCTTTGCGCCCCACTTCAGCTCATCGTCATTGGGTAGTAATGATCTATCTCTAGACCTAGTCTGTCCACCACATTTGCTGCACAAAATGTTATTCACCCAGTGAAAAAATTCTTCCTTAAACCAGTGCAAAAGCTCCAGCAAAAGAAAATCCTCATCACTTACATTAGTACCTGAGAAATTAAGGGAGAACCAAGTAAGTGCTAAAGCTGGCAAAATTTAAAATATCCACACATATTTATTCTCAAATATGAACCTGAAAAATATGAAAACGTAAGATGATTTTAAAGGTTTTCACTAATAAGAGACAAGAAGAAACTGTCATTTATTATGCACTAGGCTGAAATACAATGACATGTATAACTGCACATTAAAAACAGTAGAACATTTACCATTTTATATCCGCTAACTGACATTATGCATTAGCAAGTGAGCTAAACACAATGACCTCTTAGGGAACTACAGTCAGTTAGGAATTGATCCTGAAGTACAAGGGAGGTAGAAAAATAGATTTGATTTTTAAAAACATTTAAAAATGGGATACATTAAATTTGTTGTCAGGTATATACACAAGTAAACATTAAACAATCACAAAAGGCAGAAATCACAGAATTCCAGACATTTAAAAAATCATCCTAATTATTAGCCTTTCTATTAGGGCTTCAACTGTACAATATAATCCATCTATGGATACTCATCCCCAAACACATAAAAACACAACCATATCTCTAGTATATATAACAATCCTAATATTATGACAGATAATATTATACCCACTTTTCCATAAACAAATCTCTCTTGATCATATTCAAGACCATGGTAACTCTGGCAAGAAGGGAAGGAGAGGGAAAATCAATCTTAAAAACATATATGGGGGTTCTCATCTCTATCTTTAATGTTTTATGATTAAGATAGAGTGATAAAACATAAATATGAAGGATATATATAGCATAAAAATCTAATAAAGCTTGATGTTGGTCATAGGTGTATGATACATTATACTTTGTTCTTGTATTTAAGTTTGAGATTGTTTATAGTATCAATAGTCCTGAGATGCAATGTCTATAATATATTTTTTTTTTTTGTAATGAATTCTACTAAGCCAAGCCCGAGCGTGGTTGAGGCTCACACCCTCTATACATGATACTCCCATGAGACATCATTTGAAGGGCACAGGCCTGGATCATCTGAGATCCAGGAGTTCGAGACTTTCGCTGTTTGATCCAGCACAATAGCCAGACAAAGGTGATCAGCTTTGTCTACATCTTGAAACAAGCTCCGCACAAAATTTCTCTGGGTGTGGTGGTAGGCCCTGTAAAATCCCCAGCTATCTCGGGAGGCGCATGGCGGCAATCTCGAGTCTACAATGAACCTGCGTAGCACATTGTTATAAATGGCGCATGTTAGACCTATTAAATGATGCACATCGGTAGCATTCCTATCGCGTCGAAGAGACAAACGAAACTCTGCTGCTCTCTACAGAAAAAAAAAAAAAAAAAAATTGACAACTAAGCACATCTCCATTGTTGAAAGAGAAAATGCACAAAAAAACCTCACCAACCTTTGAATAAGAAGTCATGAGGTAAATCTGCCTACAGTGGTATCAAGACATATTATAAACGCTTAATACATTGAAACATTGTGATATTATGAGGACAATAACCAAACAAGATCAATGGAAACAAGAAGTCCTGAAAGACCACC